TGAAGAAGTCTCTTGGAGGAGAGACGAAACGTTTCATTAGAGAAGAACCCGTCCAGAAGACCTATACAATTTTTTTTCCTTTTTTATACAAACATTTGTTTTTATTATTGCGTATCCTTATTTTTTGTTAACAAAGTAAAGAAACTGAAACAAGTTTTTCTTCTGTGAATGACATTTAAAAGCTTTAGCAATCTGGTATAAATTTTGAACTCTGCCTACTTAATCTCTCTTTGACAGTAACTCAAAATAACCTAAAGAAACATCAGATTCTTCTCTACAGTCTGCTGTCAGCCATTGTAGGGATTCTCCGTTGACAGACATTCCCCTTTGACATCACTTCCTGTTACCGCACATGCAAATATCTCCACAACTGTTCATCTCAACTGTATGAAATGTTCTTTGCACTGTGCTATCAATGTTATGGTTCTAGAAATGCATTCATATTTGAAAATTTTGATGTTACGGGCACTTTACCTGCACCACTGAGGAGGAGCAGCTGGCCACAACTGTTACAAAATACAACCATTGTAAGAGTTAATTATGGGTAGTTCATTGTTACTTTTAAAAAAGTGTAAATATGGAAAATATATGTTTTTGTTGTTAAAATTGTAATGTCCTGCAAATTTACAAACACTGTTATGTAAAAGGCATAGAATATAAATATGTGAAATTCTGATGTATGTTTTGTATTTTGGGCTTCCTGCACACTGTAGTTCTATTATTTAGCTGCATTATTATTAGTTTTTGTGCTTAAGCTAGTTGAAGAGTCTTTTTGACCAAGTTTTACCATGTTAATTTTGTTTTTCATTAAATGTATTTTAAAGAATATTATCTGGTCTTGCTCACGTTTCAAATGCCTGTTGCTGGACTGACTCCCAGAAGTGGTACAGAAGAAGCCAAAGGAACCAAGGTGCTGCTCCTACAACCATCTTAACTGTTCTACCAAATCATATAAAGATAGTCAGAGAAATGGTTTGAGGAGACAGCGTGGAGACGCAGGTGGCTCTCCGTGGCTGAGCTGTCTACGCAAGAATGTCCCACAACTACAACTTTTTCACTTCTCAAAAACTGTACAGTTTTTGTTATCCTGACCTGAACGAGAAGCTACACCAAATACAAAACAGTTCAGGTGTTGACATTTTCAATCTCCAGATCTCATTTCAATCAAACGTATGTAAGATGTTCTGAACAAACTTCTTTTCAGCCAGAGGAAGGGGTCACATGCCATGAACTGAAGCACAAAAGAAAGAGCCCCCCCTCTTTGATTTGAATGGCATTGATGTGTTAACTCTGCAGGAGTCCAGAGACTTCAGCACCTCAACCTGAACAACTGAATGACTAACACAGACACAAAATAAAATCTAATCTCTTGTACCATCAATACCTCATTGTGATGACGGTAGATTCTTAGTCATGAAGGGTGTGTTCCTAACGAGCTGCAATAAAAAGCTGAATAACAACAGCAGACAGCAGAAAGCTCTGCAGCTCAGAGAGCTACAGGTCCACTTTTATCATTGTCGTGTCTAAACACCAGTTGCGATCACAGTTTTGTCTTGTGCATGTTTCACAATCAACAACAGGAAATCTATGGTGTCCAGGAGATTGTTGACGTTTAAACTGGATTTCAGTTTGAAACTCAAATCTGCGTCACACGAATTATTTTCGTAGAATTTTCTTAAAATATTAAGTTTTGTTGTAAACGGAGGTGAAGAATAGTTGTTATTTGTTAATGCAATTTTCATAAAAACCCTAATGAGTCTGATTTACTGAATTAACTCTCGAATAGTCGAAAAAATTGTTTTTAAAGAGTAAAATTTCGAATTACAAACGTTGAAAGTTTGGGTTTTGACAACATTTTGTTTGTTTGTTTATTTATTTCAATCATGAATTGAAATCATGAAATCACGAAATCAGCATGGTTTTAGGTTAAAAT